GTTTCAAGGGTTGATCACACAAAAAAGATTTGAGGATAAGAACATTTTTATTTATTTATTTTTTTACAATTTAGTCCATTGGGTTGACCTTTTGATGTTTTGTTTCCTCAACATTCTCCAAAATTCGAAAATAAAAACCCTTTGGTTTTCATCATTTTTCTTAAAGGGTTAATATGGGAATTATTTCTTAAATTATATATTTTTTAGGATTTGGTATTCATAAAAAAAATTTACCATTTAAGTATTTAAATCATTGTTTTCATCAAATATTTTGCTTCCTACACTAATTTTATTAAAAATAAAAAATCAATAATATCATAACATCTTATATATTTTTATTGATCTATATTTATCAAATGCTTTACAAAAAAATAAAATTAAGAGAGTATCGTAAATTTTTTATAAATATCGAATATTTAGAAGTCAAATTACAGATTAACCCTTTCCATAACTATTTTTATTAGTAACCATAAGATGAAAAAGCGATCAATTTAAAGAAAACAACTTCTGAAATTCAAAAAAATAATTTTATTAAAAGACAGATTTTTGAAGCATTTAAATTAAAAGTAACCAAAATTTTTAACCAATTCTCTTGCAATTCATGCAAGTGATTTCAAATCTCTGATAAATTTTACTGCATTTCGTATCATTTAATCATTATCTTTAAAAAAAATCGAAAAAAAATCATATATATATATATATATATTATAACAAACATAGTTTTCAAAAAGTATTTGTTGATATGAACATTTATCTGAACAATTATTTTTTTTATATGTAAGATAATTTTTAAAATTTTTAATTATGATAACTTATAAGATATTTATTAATTTTAAACTATTTATAAAAAATATATTTTAAAAATTATTAAATTATCTAAAATTTTAAAATTTAATCAAAAATCAATTTAAATTCTAATGAAATTTTTTTTTTGTACATCACATCATCTCAATTTAAAATCAATTTTAAAGTAATTTTTTTTTAAGTTATCTATACTTAACATGATTATTTAAATTTATCACAACTTTTAAAAATATTATTTAATATCTTCAATATTTTTGATAAATAATTCTTATATTATATCTAGTTTTTAAATATATTAGTTATAGATAATGATAATTTTAATAAACAATCCACCAGTTTTAAAAATAGATTTAAATATATTTGAATTAAAATAAAATTTAAATTCAAATCAATATTTGTCATAAACTTTTAATATTAATATTTTAGGAAAATATGAAAAAAAATATAAATACTAAAACAACTTAAAAAAAAACCATCATTGTTAGTAGTTCTTAATTATATAGCATTTTCAATATCCCATGAAGCATATGAGCTAAAAGTATTTTTTTTATTATTAATTTAATTTATCTTTTTATTAGTCTATTATTGCTAATTGTTATAAAAACTAACATACTTTTTCTGATGATAGGTATCATTTTACTAAATATATTATTCACTCCATCAGACATGATTTTTTTTTATTAGTCTATTTTTGCTAATTGTTATAGAACTTAACATGCTTTTTCTAATGATAGCTATTATTTCACTAAATATACTATTTACTCCATGTAAGATTTTTTTTTTTCAAATTAGCTGTAATATCTTTCAATTCATAATAAATTTAATTAGAACCCATTTAAGTTAATCTATTTTTTATTATTATTTAAAAATAAATAAGAAAATAAATTTAATAAATTTATTTTATTTATTTATACAAATAAAATCACAGTACACAACGAAATAACAGTAAGAAGAAAATTTATTTTAATAACTTTTAAACTCTAATAAGTCATGTTGGTCACTTTGATAGAATTTCTTGAGTATAAAGTTATCACGTAATTATTTGATTAAATATTTCTCTTTGGAGGATAAATGTATAAAACATTAAAACTTAAATATTATTATCTGATTAGATATTATCTATACATAAAATTATTTTTTTTAAATATATTTATGGATTAAAGTTTATTAAAATTTAAATAAAAAATCAATTTAAATATAAGATAACTAAATAGATAAAATTATTATTTAAATATATTTATGAATTAAATAAAATTATATAACTTGATTCTTTATTAGCTTCCATTCAACTTATTTTTCAAACAATGTTCCATTTCTCTCATACTTTAGTATTACTCTTTTATTGTTATTCCATTTAGGTTCTTCTATTTAAGTGGATTTATTTTTTCTTTTTTATTTGGTTTAGGTAAGCTCTCTTAGTCTAATTTTGACTTTTTTTTTATATTACAATATACAAAACTACAAAAACATATATATTCTTATATTTTTATTAGTGTTGTCTGCAAATCTTTTATTTTTTTATAAATTCTTCACTCAATTAGGTAATATATTTTTTTAACTAATTATTTATTCAATGTTCTCTATTCATATAAAATAAAAATGATGTTATAATTAATTGATATAATAGAGTTGTATACCAATTTGATTTGTTTCATTTTTTTTCATAAAACAAGTTGTGAAACTTTTTCTTTCTCTGTAGATGTTTTATTCTTCAAAATTTTGTTATTGAATAAAAGTTCCTTACTATTTTTTGTAAAAGTATTATTCTTTCTAAAATTTTAAAGGTTTATCAAGTTGAACTTTTTCTTTTGTTTTGATTTCTGTAGTATATGATGGATTCAGTGGAGTCAGAGGTCGGCCTAAAAATAATTGAAAGGCACAAATATTTTGAAAGCCATATAGATGCAAAATATTATGATGTTATCGAAACTTTTATAAAAAAAATGTTTACGCAAGTAAATTATCATGTATATTATTTAAATATTTAAAATCATTTAAATAAATGAAATTTATCTTAAAATTACATAAATTTACAGGCATATAAAAATGATAAAAAAAACTGAAGATGATGCAAATTGAATAAAGTTCATTTAAAGTGATAAGACTTTTAGTTTCTATTTTAATATTTTATTGGTATACTTAATAATATTATTTACAATATCTTCTTGATGTTTTTTTTTCCTTTCAATATTTTTTATAGTATATTTTAAAGTTTGTTAATTTTTTAATTAAAAATTTTAATTTTATTATTTGATATTTTAATTATATTATTTATATTTTACATATATTTTGAACATGAAAATAATTTAATAATATTAATTTATATTTTATTTAAATTTAAATAAAATAAAAATAATTCATGCATCGCTTGGATAACAAGCTAATGAATATATAAATAACATTTACATTCTATAATAAACTATCATTCAACTTTTAATGACTTAAATTTAAAATTTAATTCAATTATATCAGTTAATCACTTTTAAAAAATTATATTAAAAAAATTTAAAATTCCATTTGTGTATCTTTCTTCAATCTCATATTTATATATATATAAAAAACTAATACTGTTAGTAGAATTCCATAAAATTTAGAAATGAAGCTTTCTGTTTAATAATTAATGATGATTTTCATGCAGACGTAATTAGCAAATCAATTAACATGCACAGAAGTGAGAATTTGTTTGAACTTTGAAGGAGCATCACAAGTTAACAAATAATTGTTTATGAAAAATCAGTGTGAAAATAAAATAAAAAATAAAAAATAAAAAGTTTTAATATTTTAATTTTAGATTTAATTAATGTCAAACTTTTAAAAATATTATATAAAACAATTAAATTAAAATTTCAAATTATATCATTACAAGCTTAGCACCACACGACATTCCAATGCATATCTTTCTTGATGTTAATGATCAAATCAACCATATGGAACTTATCCAAGTATATCTTTCTTGATGCCACTGTAAATTCCAATGTAATGAATTTACACGGCTTGTAGTATTATGCTTCATTTGCTTAGGTAGTGAGATTAATTGTGATAAAATTAAAAATAATAATAATAATTACAGTAATTACGATTGAAAAAAAATTATTGTAGTTGTAATTAAAAAAAATATTTAATAAAAAATTTATATCGAGTAAATTTTACTGTAATTAATATTTGAATTCAACTGAGAGTGCGATGAGTTCAATTACACTGCACCAAAAATACGATAAAATTCAAATGGACACTTAGTTAATTATAAGATATTGCCAAGCAACATAAAATCCAAATTTTCATCTCAATGCATATACTTCAGATTTGGAAGGATAACAATCAAGGGACTGATAGAAACAATAAAAGCAGAGCCTATGATTTTCCTTCAAAATGAAAAGAATATCACTTCTAGTCACCCAATGAGCCTATGATTTGGAAGGTTAATTACTTAATTAATGATTAATTAACAACCTTTTAAATCTCTTCTCTTTGTGAAAAGAAAAAAAAATCAAAATAAAAGGATAAATGCTAAATTGTTCAATGTCCAAAAGAATTTAATTTTAAATTATCATGAGATAAAAGAAAGAAATATAAGTATTTACATTTGACTTTTAAATTTATTGAATGTTATTTTTTACGAGTGATTATATGAATCAATTAAATTATATCTGAATTTAAATTAATATTGATTCTTAATAATTGTTGTATAATATTATTTTATTTAGTAAGCATCTTCTTTAGTAGAAAGCTATAGTTTAATGGATTAATTTATTTTTTCTTGTACAACATTCAAACAATATTCCTACCTTATCTGATTAGCATCCAAAACAACTTTATTTTTTTTTATTTGATTTTATATTAGGGTTGTTATTATTATATTTAGAATGCAACTTCTTTTTAGTAGAAAAGCTATGGTTTAATGAATTAATTTATTTTTTCTTGTACAACATTCAAATAATATTCCCATCTTCTCTGATTAGCATCCAATATTTATTGAAATTAAAATAACTTTGTGATCAAATAGATGCTACAATTTGGTAGTTCTTTCAATAGCATTCACTTTACAGGTAGATTAGATCCTCTCCCAACCTCTTAAATCAAAGCTATTGGCCAAAAAAAAAAAAGGAACCTCTTAAATCAAAGCTGCAATGTCAGAGTTCTTGAGCAACCCCTATTATTGTCAAGATCAATAGCCATAGCATTTGCTTCTCTTGAGCATGGGAAATTCTCAACCAAAGAAGGGATCTCTTAGTCATGAACATACCTTGTTCCATCACTATGTGGAAAACAGGTCTACAAATGAACAATGTGATGTATGCAATGAGGAAATCTATGGTGTGGTCTATGCCTGTGAAGTCTGCGAGTTTACACGGCATGCATCATGTGCACAAAAGCGGATGCCTTTAGAGATTACTCACCCTTCCCACTCAATGCACGAGCTACAACTACAAGATGAGTCTTCGGATTTCTTATGTGAAAGATGTTTCTGTAATTCTCGAGGCCCAAGAATACCACTGCTCTAGTTGCTTATCGATGTTGATTTAGCGTGTGTTTCTTCAAACAACGATCAATCGCTGAAGGAGATGAAGGTCAGATACCTGAAGGCAGGGTAAGAAAAAGAACCAGGCATTTCATGCCACGGGAGCTGTTGGCTCTCTTCAAGTATAGGAAGAAAACACAACGATAGAACTTGGATTGGCAGTTGGTGTGACAACGCGTTTATCAGGCCATGTCTATTGGTTTGTTTCAACGGGGGACCCTTAATGGTTGCAAGTTCTTTCCTCCATGAATCTTGTATTTCTAAGATTTTCAAAAGATTGGCTAGCATCCTTTTTCATCCACTGCAACCATCTTTCCTGCAGTACAGTAATGTCGACTATAGATTCCTCTTGCAAACGCCTGTAAAGGTTACAATTTCATCTACGAATTTAACAACATACTATGCTGTCATAAGTGTAGTTTCTACCTTCATATTTCTTGTGCTAGGCTCCAACCTACGCTGAAACATAAGTGCCATGAGCATGATCTTACATATTTTTCGAGAAGTACTGAAGAGTGTTTCAATTGCCATGCCTGTGGCCATGATTGCAATGCCAAAAAGAACAAAGAAGGTGCTTTCTACCGTTGTGTACAATGTAATTTCAACATCCATTTCAGATGTCTTCCAGCACCACCTGTGGGTAAACATAGATATCACAGGCATTTTCTCATCCTCCATCACGGAGTAATTGAAGATGATTCTGGAGAGTATTATTGCGATGTCTGTGAAGAAGAAAGAAATCCAAAGCATCATATCTATTATTGTAAGAAGTGCACATATATTGCTCATGTCGAATGTGTTCTCAAAGAGGTAAGCTCTCATTTGAACATTTACAATATCTCCAAGTGGAAATTGGCTATGAAAAAAATGATATCTGACTTGTTTGTTTTGGCTACAGGTTTCTGACTCTCAAGTGAGGAAAATGATGGACTTGGTGAAAAGAGTTCAACGGAGTAACGGAAAATTGCCAGAGCTCAAAGAAACATGGGACAATAATATCGACAGGAATCAATTGTTTGAGGTAAGTAAAGCTATATGTCTTTTTTCTCTGACATGTTTTAGGATTGAAAACCTTTATTGCACATGCACACCAACCCTTGCCCACATCCATAATATTGAAAGCAAAATGAATTTGAAAAACAAAAGAATATAAAAGAAAATTAATCAGACATGTAAGAAATGATGGACAGTAACTGAAAGAAATTTATGAATGCAATGACAACAACAGAGGCAATGCATGGACACAATGATATGTAACAGTCTCTTTTTGATCAGATGCAATCGATACAGTTTTTGTTAAAGGACCTTGAACTAGAGGAAAAGGAAAAGAAGAAGGAAAAGGTAAAATATTTTGAGAAGGATGAAGATGCAGAGAGTAGTACTTGTAGTGATGATGATGATGATGAAAAGAGTGATGAGGAAGGTAGTGAAGCAGAAGAGGAGGAAAGAGTAAAAAAGAAGATGAAAACGAGGAAACGAGTGAAGAAGAAGAGGAGGAAGACAGTGAAGAAGAGGAGAACGACAAAGCGGAAACGAGCGAAGAAGAGGAGTTAGATAATAAGGAGGGGAAACATAAGGAAGTAGATGAAGAAAAAGATGGGGAGGATGACGAAAAGATGGAAGAAGAAGAAGAAGTAAAAGAGTTAGAGGAGAATGAGGAAAGTAGTGATGAAGAAGAGCAAGAGGATGAGAGTGAGGATGAAGAACCAGAAGAGAAAAATGAAGCCAATCAAGGAGAGGCATCGACATGCATCAATGACACCAAAGAGTTGAAGCCCTCGACAGAACCTGCACTTAAGGTCTACTTTCCTCAACTAGATTTTCTTAAAACTTTTTGGTACATAATGAAACAATTTAGTTCAGTTTTCTGTCTCTCTTTTGTCCTTTGAGATGCAGATTAATCATTTCAGCCATCATCATTCATTGAACATTTTCCAGTTAACCAAAAAGTTCAAAGGTAACTGCAATGCCTGCGGCCAAGAGCTACTTGGTACAGTCTACATATGCAAAACCTGTGAATCTCCTTTCCACTATGGATTACACAAAGCATGCGCTGATTTACCCCCTGAGCTGCAACACCCTCTTCACCCCCAACATTCTCTAACCCTCTTACATGAGTTCCCTCATTCAGAAACCTCATGGTTTTTATGTGATGAATGTAGAGAATTTTCTGCCGGTTTTGTTTACCTCTGCTTGGATTGTCAGTTCAAGCTCGATGTAAAATGTGCAGTTTTAGCTGCTCCAGAAATTGGGAGCCAAGATCCAAAAAGTAGGAAGAAAGAAACCAAGTTATTCCATTTCAGCCATAACCATATTCTGGTCCTTGGCAATCTTGTGCATAGATCATTATCATGCCTCGGCTGTGATTTACCAATCTTTGGCCCATCCTATTGTTGCCTTGATTGCCTTTATACTCTTCATGAATCTTGCCTTTGAACATTACCACAGCAGATACAACACCCATTTCATCTGCCACATCCTTTGGTTGCCTTCCCTGAATACTCTCGAGAGAGCAAGTGTCATGCCTGCAAAATGGATTTCCAATTGGGTTTCCCAGTACGCGATTTCATCAGATATAGATGTTTGCAGTGTGAACTTGACTTCCACTTTGTTTGTGTCAATTCTCTCGGAGGGCTTGAAATCTAATTCCCACGCACAATCTTACTAATTCGGAACAGAACACCAAATGTTCTTAGAAAAATTTTTATACTCATAATTTACTTCATGTGATATTGCATGCATTAAATGTGTATGGTCGAACAATCTATCGTTTTTTGGATGTGGATCATTTCCATTTTTTTGTGTCCCTCTACCACAATAGATCAAATCTAAATGTCACAAATCCATCATTTACCTTTAAGATCCTTTGTGAAGGAAATCAGGAGATATTTATTGCGATGTTTGTAAGGGAAAGACATGAGATCATGTCTATTGTTGTATGAATGTATGCATTGTCTATCACATTAATCGTGTTTCCATTGTAAGTTCATCATGTCATTATGCTCTTTTATAATTAATCTGTGATCTACATCATTACTAAAATAATTTCATTAGAAAGCAACAAGCTCTTTCCTTTATCAGGTGGAAGAAACTTCACCAGATATAACAGCAATCTCCAATTAGGAGTCAATTTGAGAAGACCTCTATCCGGGCTGATAGCTAATGGAATCAACACATGGTGGCTTTGGGTTTCATTTTTCTTGTCGGTTTCAATAAAGACACGAATTTTATTACATGTACGAAACGTACTTGTGTTGATTGTCTTCTTTTCCTTCGATTTCATGTTTTTACAAATAGTACCCTATAATTCTATTGAAAAGTTAAATCAACCATGAAATTTCATTCTGATTACAATCTTAATCTTAAACTTTAAATCAAAATGATTAAGCATAATAAGAAATTTCTTTTTAAAGATATAAATAAAAATATTTTTAGAATTTTATCAATTAAAATTGCATTGTAAGAGTCAGACTTTGTTCAATCTGTAAATCTTTGGCTCGTGCAGTTGTTTGTATATTCGGTACTATAATCTGAAGTGGTTTCTGTATTTACAATCTGGGAAAAGGCTAAGAGGGTTAGTGTTTGAGAAAGAAGAGACAATGGTTTCAAGGTTGAATCCATAATTCTATATGGAGATGTGGTTGTTCGAGTTGGTTTTGTACATTTTTATTGGCTTTGAGACAAATTTAATTTGCTGTTTTCTAAAGAAAAGCGACAATAGAATGAATCAGGCAATCAACTGTTCGAATATCATCTAATTGGATAGTTAATTTGCTTGTGCACCAAGAGGATAACCTACACCAGCAACACATACAAGAAAAAACAGAGGAGAAATTGAAGTTTCTCCTACAAAAATCAGTTTAGCAACATATGGATTGAAAAATGAAATGTTAATTGGCTAGTTCTTGTTCATTTTAACCATCTAATATTATTAAGCAAAATCTTTGAACTCAACAAATGATTGTTCATGGTTTTGCTTCTATATATCTCATTCATTATTTCCTTCAAATCATGGGTGCGGGCGCAGCCTAGATCAGTTTCATCGTGGCTATCCATTTTTATGCAGTGATCATGCTGACTGCCCACCCTTAAAGTTTGTCATTTGATACTACCAGAAAATGTAGTATATCGGCGAAAATTTTTGTCGGTAATATTATATTTTTGTCAATAATAATATTTTCATTAGATTTACTGATGGAAAATTTCAAGGACCATGACTTGTTTCATGTATCAACTTGTAACAATCAAAAGATTAACTCAATGGTTCATACAATCATCACATCCAGCAAATTTGAAATCCAAAAAATTTCTACCAACCGAATCACTGTTTTTTTGCATACAATAACCAAATGGAAGTTGGAAATTGTTCTACAAGTGTTTTTGTCTGCCATAGAAAAAAGGAATTTAAATTTCCTGTTAGTTTCTTTGCTAATAATACCAAGAAATTTCATACTATTAGCAAATTTGTTGTTAAACCTTGACAAGTTCAATGAAATGATTGAATTTTCAGTTTCAGATGTTAAACCCTGATAAGAATTGAGATTTTAATAGAAATTTTAGATTCTAGAGTCATTGTAATCATTTCAATTTGAACAAAATAACAAAACCTGTTAGAAAAAAAAGTCATGGTCTAAAAGCCATGGCACCTAACCAACTTTCCTACCATTTCGCCCCCAAGCCTCCTCCCCATATTTATTTCCCCTCCATTGAGTTCCCAACTTTCCACATGTTTCTTCCGTACATTGTTGTCGGTGGCTCTCGCCGGTTAGAGGTGTCTCCGCCCTAGCCCCTCAGCCGAGTCTCTCTACCAAAAAAAAATGGCTCCTCCTCCTACTCATTCCAGGATTCTTGAGATCACCCTCATTTCCGCTGAAGACCTAGACCCTGTCTCCAAAAACATGAAGACCTACGCGGTTGCTTGGGTCCAACCCGACCGCAAGCTCGCCACAGGGGTAGACCTGACAGGCGGAGCCGATCCAACTTGGAATGACAAGTTCATGTTCCGAGTCGATGACAAGTTTCTCAACTCGGAGGATGCCACAATTTTTGTTGAGATCTACGCGGCTGCATGGGTTAAAGATGCCTTGATTGGATATGCTAACGTCCTGATCAGGGACATTTTCCACTTGAGATCTGTAGCCAACGCCAAGAACAACAACTCCGCCACGAGAACCGTCACGCTTCAAGTCCGCCGTCCCTCTGGCCGCCCCCAAGGGATTCTCAACATGGAGTTTGCCCTTGTTGATAGTACCATGCGTAGCTTGCCTCAGCTAGAAGACCCTAAACGAGAAACAATAACCAGCCAAAAAATGGAAAATCACGCGACGAATGAGTCACAAAATCACAAGTTACACGCAAACGCTAAGATAAGCCGTTCACAAAGCGACCGGACCGAGTTATCAATGGAAGATAACTCAGAGAAAAGGCCTGGAAAGGGTTCAATTGTTAATGGTGGTTCAGTTGCCAATGGTTCCATTGTTAATGGCAATGGTAGCATGGTGAATGGTGACTCTCTTTGTAGCACAGACGTGGGGCCTTCAGCCTCGGTTGTAGCTGCAGCCATTGCAAAAGGGTTGTATAAACCACCACTTCCTCATCAAGTTCAATCAAAAGAATCAAAGAAAATAAGGGAATGGACCAAGAAAGAGAGAGAAAAAGACCTAGACATGAAGCTAGAGAGGTGGCGATCGGAGATTCAGGCCCCGTCTGCCACCGGATACCGGAAAACAAAATCGAGCAAAGAGCGAAGACCAAAGGGTATGAAGTTGTTCTCCTGTTTTAGCACTGCTCTCGGATGTGAAATTTCGGTTACTTGTGGTGGAGGTCAGAAGATCCATAACAATGGCAGCAATAAAATTTATCATTTAAGCTCCGTGGATGATAGTTATAGCGAATCACTTGTTTGAATATATCTTTTCGAAAGATTTGATTGAGGTATGGTACAAGAGATCAAAGCTCTTTTTTGTTTATTTCTTCCTTGCAAGCTACAAAGAATGTCATGATCATGAGATAGTTGCAAGAGATAAATTGCATCTCTTCTATACTTAAATAATTAAATCCTTCATTTTAATTGATATATATATTTATATATATTTATACTAGACTAATCACATGATTAGCAAATTGTTATTATCCTGAACTGCAATGTTAATTCATGTCTTGTAAAACACATATATCTCTCTCAAAAGTATTCATGCCTATCATGCTAATTTAAGAGAAGAATAATCTTCATATAGAAATAGAAAGAACTTAGTGGTATTACACATTTTCAAACCAATATGTCATGATGCGAATTAGTTGTTATCATTCAGGCAATAGACTTTATCTTTTCTCTTTCCCTGTTCCTTTATTGTTGCTCAATGATAAATGAAATAACTCAAAGAGTAAAATAAGGATGAAAACAATCAAGCAAAAAATTGTGCATGTAAAATATTTTATAGTTTGAGAAAAAATAATGTTATAATAAAATAAAATATTCAGTGAATAGTTCATGAATAATTTTACTATGATAATGTTTGAATATCATTGTTAGGGATATTAGCCTTCAATGACTGACTGGTGATAAAAAAGTCCAGTTAAAAAAAGTTTTTTTCGTGCACCCCACAATCTCATTTTACCCATGATATTTTTTTTTATTTCTTTTTTTTCCTTTAAATTTATAATTCATTTTTTTCGTTTTGATTTTCTATTTTAAAATTTTAAAATAATAACTTTATTGATTTAATATAATAAATTAATTTTATTATATAATAAATAATATATATTAATATTTTTATTGAATAAAATTTAAGATTTTAAATATTATAAATAATATTAATATATAAAAATAATTTATCAATATATTTTTAAGACAAAATCTCTATCGATGATTTTTTATTCTTATCCCATCATTATAGTTACTTTTGCATCTAAATACATATCTTACAACTGATTTTAATTTTACCATTACAGTAACTAATTTTACTATTATAATAACTAATTTAATTTTCATCACTGTTTTTAATTTTATCAGAATCAATTTCACTGTCCAACCATCCAAATAAACTCTAAATTAAAAAGACTAATAATGTTTCAAAATTATTAAAATAATGTTTTATGTTGTATATTAAATTTAATAATTTATGTATTTGTATTGTATAAAATATTGATAATTTATATATTTATATCATATTTTATATAAAAATTATATATAATAAGTTGAATAGACACAAAATACATAAATATATTTTTAATTTTTATTACTCATAATTTTTATTAAAATTTTGAATCATTTTTATATATTTTATTTAATTTTTATATCATATTATATTTTAAATTATCATATTTACCGTTCATAATAAAAACACGCTGCTCCCGCCAATGATTCATATATCATTTGGCTTTGGGTCAGCTGCTTTATAAACCACCCTTTTTTTAAAAAAATAAACCACCCTATTCTAATCAGTCAAGTTGGATTTTAAGATTTACACAACTCATAATGAACCAAGTAGTTCAGATGGGATTTAGACCCAATCCAACCTAAAACGTTGAAACAAAAAAAATTATAATTTAAAATATAACATAATAATATAATTTTAAAATAATATGATTTATAATTTTAACAAAAATTATATATAAATTTAATAAAAATCAAATAAAAAATTATTTGATACAATAACAGTGAATGTTTTTAATTTTACAAATATGATTAAGATAATGACATATATTTTATTTTTTAAATTAATTTTTTTAATTGTTTAAATATACACTAAAAGACATGTGTTACTATCTTAATCCATTTTTGTAATTAAAAAACTCAATTGTCAATATATTTGATAATTTTTCAAATCAAATTATAGATTTCATTGTTAACTTGAATTATAATATAATTTTTATATAAAATACAATATAAATATATAAATTATCAATATTTTACTCTACATATGATTATCAAATTGACCTAAAATTAATCATCAGAAAAACAAAAACCGATGACTTTTGAGTACAGGAGATAAATTATAGCATCTATTATTAAACAAACTACTAATAGGCAGGTCCCAACAAGTTTTCATTGTCATTTGTGAAAAAAATTCCATTTGATTTAAAATAATCCCTTAATTTCGTAAAGATTTAAACATTTGATTTGTTAACGTAATAATTGTTTGTTGTAGATTAAGAGTAGAGGTTCAAATGATACATTAATATTTAAAAATTACTCGAATTTGATTCGAATAAAATTTAAATTCAGCTCGATTATTATCTAGTCGAGCTCGAGCTCGACTAGCTCAATTCATTCAATTGAGTCGAATTCGAACATTTTTATATTTGACTCAAGTAACTCGTAAGTCTAATCGAGTTTTTATATTTAAATATATTTTTATTATTTTAATTAATAAAATATCTTGAGCTTGAGCACAAATAATTAAGCTTTTACTAAATATAAAAATTGAGCTTATTTTTACATATTAATCGAACCTAATCGAGCGAGCTCAAGTAGCTCAATTTTTATCTTAAGTTGAGCTTGAGCTAAAAAAAAAAAAATTCGATCGAGTTTGAGTCAAGTTTCAAACCTCAAATTTTGAATTGAACTCAAGCTTAATATTGTATCGACTCGAACTCAATCAATTACATTTTTAATTAATAGCTTATCCCGCAAATCGAAAGTAATATTATATGCAAAGAATAATAATATTGCACAAAAAGAACACCAAAAATTTATATTGATTCATCCTCAATATGAGAGTTTCATCAACTTTTAAAATCATTACAAAAATTTTATCATAAAGAAAATGAAAATTACAAAAAAGAAAAATTATCTTTTACTTAGCTTTCTAACTCTCTCTATCTCTTTTTTAGAAAAGAACACCTCACAAAACTCTCTCTTTAAAAAACTCTCTTATAAATGAAGAATTAAATTTTGGTATGATTTTTCACTTCATAAATCAAATCTATTTATAAGCTCCAAGCCCCTTTAATTACATCATCTCTTACATTACTTTAGCCAATTGTATCATCCCTTGCATCACTTTGATCAATTTTTTTCTTTGATAATTTGTCTCCACAACTTTAACATTATTATCATATTTTGCATATCAAATACATCTTAAATATTGTAATAATTTATAATGTAATATTTTGTAATATTAATATAATTAGGTTATCAAATGTAATATTAGTAATTATGATATTTATAAAAAATTTTTATCTAATTTTATATATTTTTTAATTATAATATCATAATTCTTAATATTAGGTTTGACTATATAATTACATTAATAATATTATATTAACAATAATTATGATACTGAAAATAAATGAAAAGGCAATTTGGAATAATGGAATCTCTAGTTAGTTGTTCATAATTTAATCAATAAAATAATAAAAATTAATTATTGAAGTGCATTGTTGTTTTATATATTATGGTGATAGTAATAGTAGCTAATTTAAACTAATTATTTATGTTGGAAAAGCTAATAGGGCATCTGACCTGACAAGTAGGATTGCCAGAATGGTCAAGGAAAGGATGTGCCCATAAAAATGGTGATTTCTAGGTAATTAGCAAAAGTAAATAAATTTAGAGTTTAACTCAATTTATTTATATAATCACTGAAAATAATATTCAATAAGTAAATTTATAGTTAAATTTTTAACATTTACAACTCTTTCTCTTATATCCGAATTATGCCTTACTTCTTTATTAAAAAAAATAAAAATTTGTATGTTTTGTCAAAGAAAAATAAAACTAATAATTAGTTTCATATCAACGATAAACATTGGCTGTTATGAGCAATATGATTTCACCAAAAGAAGATTTTCAAAGAGCAGGGATGTCGAATAAGAGTAATAAGAATGCACTAACCTTTCCTTTGTCTCTAACTTTTGACACTTTTCAATTTATATTTGATGTCTTGGTAGTGTATGAATTTTATACACTGTAAATTAAATGATATTATTTTATTAATAAAGTAAATCAGATAATATCGTTTCATTAATGAGTACATTTTTTTAAAAAAATATTAATTTATATATATATTTAAGAGTTGATATTTATTCATTAATAAAATAACATCATTGGATTTATTAACGGTTTATAGAATCTATATACTGATAGTGTATCAAATATAAACTTGACATTTTTATCGAGTAAGAGTAACATATACTTTTATGATGTATTAAAAAATAAATATATATCATTTTCTTAAATATTTTATGAAATTAAACAATTCATGTATTAAATAATTTCACTTAATTTTATATATATTAATTTGGTGGAAGAGTAATATAAAAAGAAAGATTCTAGACAAATTTAAATGTTTCGTTATGTTTATTCTTTATTGATTTTTTGGGTGAAATGAATTCAACTTTGATAGTTATTTTTAATAAAATCATAAAATTAATAAATTTTTAAAACTAAGATTGGTAAAGTTTGAGTTTCAAAATTCTTAAAACTAATTGATATAAAATGAAAGGACTCAATTTGAATATAAGACTATATGATATTAGATATTTATTAGATTTAGGATAATATTACTTTAATAGGCTCCCATTATGTGGAGGCAAAAGATAAAAAAACCTATCATGTGATAGATTTAAAAAAGGGTAACAGAAAAAAATCCTGGTTCTGATACTATATTAAGCATTTAGCTTAAAACCAATTAACTATAAGTGAAGGGGCTAACTTGAATACAAGATTACCGAAAACTAAATATTTATTAGATGTGAGATAATACCAATTTAACAGGCTTTTATCACGTGATAGATTAAAAAATGTTAACAAAAGAAAATCCTGATTTTAATAACAAGTTAAACATTAAACTTAAAATCAATTGCTTATAAGTAGGAGGCCTAACTTAATCATAAGACTATATGAAATTAAATTGTTATTACATATGAGATAATATCACTTTAACATGTCTCTATCACATGTAAGCGAAAATGAAAGAAGCCTATCATATGACAAATTTAAAAAGAAAAATACAAGAAAATCTTGACTCTTATACCATATTAAACATCTAACTTATGACAAATTTGAAAAGGGCAATACAAGAAAGTCCTAACTCTGATATTATATTAAGCATCTAACTTAAAATTAATTGACTGTAAGTGAAGAGAAACCAATTGGCATTAACTAGAGGGGTATAACTTAAATATATGACTACAAAATATTAGATATTTATTATATGACAGATAATACCATTTTAATAGGCCCCCGTCACATATAGGGGAAGATAAAAGAAGCCTATCACATTATAGATATTATATTAAGCATCAAACTTAAAATTAATTGACTATAAGTAAAGGGATCCAACTTGAATATAAAGTTATAAAAAATTATATATTTATTAGATGTGGGATAACGTCACTTTAACAGGTCCCATCACGTGTAGGCAAAGATGAAAGAAACCTATCACATTATAGATTTGGAAAAGTCATGATAGATTTGGAAAGGGCAACAAAAGAAAATCTTGACTGTAATACTATATTAAGGATCCAACTTATAACCAATTGGCAGTAAGTGTATTGGCCTAATTTGAATACAAGATTATAGAAAATTATATATTTATTAGATATGAGATGACACTATTTTAACAAAAAATATTTTTAAAATTTTAATTCAATATAATATTTTTAAAATAATGATTAAAGTTTAGGTTGTTAGATAAAAAAAAATCAAACATGAACATACCAGATAAAATAGAAAGTTTTTTTTTTTTCCTCTTAAATCCTTGTAGTTCTCACACTATAAATATAATCCCAAGAAACAAAAGTTAAAGAATTTACAAAGAATAAGAAAAAGAAGAGTTTAGCCTTATTCAATAATCATTTTTAGCCATGGCATTGCTGCCAATGAATCCTCTAGCGTTTACAGTTCGTAGGCATGAGCCTCAGCTAGTCGTCCCAGCTAAGCCAACCCCTCGTGAGTGCAAATTACTCTCAGACATTGATGACCAAGAGGGTCACCGATTCCAACCCCGAGCGCTCCATTTTTATAAACGCAACCCCTCCATGCAAGGGAAGGACCCTGCTCAGGTTGTTAGGGAGGCAATCGCTCAAACCCTTGTGTTTTATTATCCATTTGCAGGTAGGCTGAGGGAAGGGCAAAATCGAAAGTTAATGGTTGATTGTACTGGGGAAGGTGTGTTGTTTATTGAGGCTGATGCTGATGTTACCTTGGAGGAATTTGGTGATGTGCTTCACCCACCATTTCCATGTCTGGAGGAGCTTCTTTATGATGTCCCTGGTTCTACCGAACTGCTGAATTGTCCATTACTGCTAATTCAGGTTTTTGCTTTTATAACTCTTATCTCTTACTTTGTTATGGATTTTTTTTTTTTATAAAAAAGACCATAGGAGATACAGAAAAATGCTGCAAGTATTAAGATTTATATCACAATAACATTTTGGTTGTATGACTCATCTGAGCTAAACTGCAGCTTCAACAAAACTAGAGAAAACAAAGATAAATAAAAATAATGGGAAAAATTAGATTAATTAAATCCTTCTAACCTTTGAAAACGTAACAGGTGACACGCTTGAAATGTGGAGCTTTCATTGTTGCCTACCGGTTTAACCACACAATGAGCGATGTTGCTGGGATATCTCAATTCATGTCTGCTATGGGAGAGATAGCACGAGGTGCGCTTACTCCCTCAATCCCACCGGTTTGGGAAAGGCACCTCTTGAATGCTCGAGACCCACCTCGCATAACATGTGTGCACGACGAGTTCAACAATGATTCGGTTGCCACAAAAGGTACAACCATCCTGACGGACAACTTGGTTAGTCGCTCTTTCTTCTTCGGACCAACTCAAATTTCAGCTCTTCGTAGATTTATCCCCGGCAACCTTCGCTGTTCGACGTTTGATATCTTATCTGCGTGCTTATGGCGTTGTCGCACAAAAGCCCTGGAACTTGACCCTGACAAAAATGTTCGCCTTGTGTGCATTGTTAATGCTCGCTCCAAGTTTAATCCTCCATTACCATTAGGATATTATGGGAATGCACTTGGTTGCCCGGCCGCTTTAACAACTGCGGGAGAGTTATGCCAAAACCCATTATCATATGCAGTAGAGCTCGTGAAACAGGCCAAGACAAAAGTAACGGAAGAGTACATGAAATCAACAGCGGATTTATTGGTGATTAGAGGTCGACCAAATATCAACGTGGTTGGATCCTACATTGTGTCGGACTTAACACGAGCCAAGATCAAAGAACTTGATTTTGGATGGGGTAAGGCCGCCTTCAGTGGACCAGCCACAAGTTTGCCGATAATAAGCTTCTGTATACAATCCAAGAACAAGGAAGGAGAGGATGGAATTGTGGTGCCAGTTTGCCTGCCAGCCCCAGCCATGAAAAGCTTTGTCAAGGAGATGGATAGCATTATTAAAATGACGTTATCCCGTATCTAATAATAAATATTCAATATTTTGTAATCTTATATTTAAATTGAGCCCTCCCCATTTGTTTGTAAAAATAAGTGCATAACCTTTTATGCAATCACAAATATTTCTTACATCAAATAATTTGGGGCATTATTTCTATGTGTAAACTATTGGAATTTTAAGTTTGTTTTATGTTTTCCTTGATGAGTTTTCTCAGCCGTATTTTCTTTTTTACTCTTTATAAAATGATGGTTTAGGTGAGTTTAGTGTGCAAATAGAATAATTTGAGTGCTTATTACAAAATGGAAAGATTTAGACAAAGTTTCTTAAGTGAAATTTGTGAGCTTTTCCATTAAAAATGATTAAAAAATTAAAATAAAAAATCCAAACCAATAAATTAAAAGATTTTATTTTATAGATTAACTACAAAATATGAAAAACTTTTAAAAGATTTTTATATATTTTTTAAATAGGTAGTTTACTAAAAAATTTGATAGAATTTTTGTTGTTAAATAAGTATTAATTAAATTTAAATTCAATAATTTAAATTAAAAAAGGTTTCCAAAATAAAAATTATATCAAAGGTTATCAAAATTATATTAAAACTTAACAAAATTGTATCTATGATTACCAAAATTGTATTAAAAGTTACCAAAATTATATCAAACTTACTAAAATTTTATCAAAGGTTACCAAAATTATATAAATGGTTATTGAAATTATAACATAAGTTACCAAAATAGTAAAGATTACCAAAATTATATTAAAGGTTACTAAATTTTTATGAAATGCTATAAAATTTTAATAAAGGTTACTACAATATATCAAAAATTATCAAAATTAAAATTCTATAAAAAGTTATCAAGTTATATCAAAAGTTACCGAAATAGCATTAAACGTTACCAAATTTTATTAACTATTATCAAATTTCTAAAAATGTTCATCACAATATATAAAAAGGTTTGTATCTAAGATTACCAAAATCTTATTAAAAGTTACCAAAATTATATTAAACTTACTAAAATTTTATCAATAATTACCATAATTATATAAATGGTTACTCAAATTATATTATAAGTTACCAAAATAGTAATAAAGGTTACAAAAATTATATTAAAGGTTACTAAAATTTTATTAAATGCTATAAAACTTCTAATAAAGGTAACCACAATGTATCAAAAGTTATATAAATTAAAATTATATAAAAGGTTATCAAGTTATATCAAAGGTTACTAAAATAACATTAAATGTTACCTAATTTTATTAATTATAAACACCATATTTTGTGTGAAATTTTGAAAATTTTTTATTTTCAAGTCTTGAAGTTTTCCTTATCAATTAATTAAAACTTTAGGTTTGTTTAATTGGACTCTATTTTAGGTTTGGGTCTTAAACTCAAATTTTTATTTATTTATCCAATTTGTTAATTTGTTTCTATTCGAAAATTCAAAAAAAAAAAAATTCAAAAGAGTTTTGGGTGGTTGAATCTGTCTGAGATTGATTATTTGGGATTATAAAGTTTGGGTTAAAATTAAAGTCTGAAACTTAAACTAAAAAAAATTAAAACTTATTTTGATTTAGAGTTATCATAATTTGAAAGAAGATCTTTATAAATACAAACATAGAAAAACCAAAGGACAATCGGTATGCAAGAACGAACATAAGAAAAAATCACCTCATCACCTCATTACCAAGGGGACTAGGCCTTGAGGCGCACTGGAGATTCAGGTTGCAGGGAACTAGCCTAGAACAATGGTGCGAGCAGTGATCAAGACTCCAAAAACTTAAGGAAAGTGTTTAGGTTCGACAGAATTGAACGAAGACCAGAGACGAGCGTTGATGAGCAATGCATGTGCACCCAGTTAGGCCTAGGCGAGAGCACTAATGATTAAGATGTAAGTGCGCAGTCAAGCTCAAGTGCGGGTACACTTGAACATAATTTTGAGAGGATCAGATTTGGGGGCTTTTAAAAAGCTCAATGCTCAGCATGATTTTAGTAAATCAAGAATTGTACAGTAGTACCAAATCCCCAAGAATCAGGGATTGCATATTAACTTTATCAATTCATCGATTTAGATTTTCAATTTTAATTTTTATTAAATCATTTTTAATAAAAATTTCACAAATTTCATATAAAATTTTCCCACCGTTAACAACCAATTAAAACCATACTCAAAATGCTCATCACCTAAAATGTTTTCCAAATCTCATTTGAATATATCCTAAAGAATTTATTGCATAAATACAAGAGCTTTTATTATTATTTTTAAATGTGTCCTGATATGGGCCATGGCCGCAGGCCCACATTTTAAAAAACCGAATAAAAAACGGCTAATCAAGAACCCGGTTCAATTCGAACCGAACATATCAGCAAACCGATTTGGTTTATCTCCCAAACCAAAACCCTCCTTAAGCCTCCGTATCTGAAGCTCTCTTCTTCTCCGTCACTGTGGCAGGCCTTCCGACTTTTTTTGTTCCAAAATTAACCTCAAACGTTTCCCAACATTTCAAAATGACCCCCAAAATTTCCTCCATCTTATCAATCACACCCTTCCCTTAGCTTTCACCAATCTTCACTCTCCCAATGGAATCCATCTTCACTTCACCATGTCTCTCTCAACTCTTCCCGCTCAATTTCAGAACAAGGCACCTTATCAGAACCCATAAGTTTACCAAGAAAACCATTAAAACACTCCCCATTAAGCTCAATTTTAAAGCTTTTGTCTTCCAAGGAACCCCCAAAGCTCCAAACCTGTAAAAAATAAAAAATTGACACTACCGAGAAGGGAAACTAGGGAAAAAGAAGCCAAAATCTCGTCTGGGTATTTTTCATTTCAATGCCTAGTTAAAAGTTTAGCTTTTATTTTGCTTTGTTTTGCAATTGGGTTATCAAATTTGAGTCCTAATGGAGAGTTTAAAGGTGTGGCAATGGCTGCAGTAGCAGAAAAAGTGAGAGTGAGGGGAAAAGAAGAAGAAAAGGAATGGACTTTGAGGAAAAATGAGCATGAGTTTTTGGATTATACGATGAGGTTATTAGAGGTGGTTTCGGGGTTGTTGAGCACCCATTTTCCTTGACATTAAGCTTTTTTTATGGAGATATTTTTGAATACTCCTTTTAGAAAGTAATACGGGGAGCATGCAAATGTTACTATTATAACAGTTTTGTTATTTCATCCTGCCTTTAGATCATGAAGGTCATTGATGTGGAAAGTCTATAATTGATCTTAAGATATCTTAAAAAAAAAGGCCTATTTTCTTATTGATTCAGAAAAGTTGTTAGATGGATTAATGTGATTAACAACAAGTAATTTACATGGCTCTGGTCATGAAGCTTCGATCTGGAGGTTTATATTGTCATTAATATACAAAATGCTTATCGCAGGAACACATTCTCTTGGATCGAGATAGAGTCGTTGCAAAAACCTGGTACAATGAAAAGGGAAGCAGGAGGGAAATGGATCCACTGGCTGTTCCTTATGCGGTGTCTAATAAGTTAGTAAAGCATCCTCGAATCAGGCATGACTAGGCTATGATGTATATTGCATTGAAAGGGGATGACAAGGAATGTTTTGTGACATCAAGGTTATGTGTGTAAAAACCTTTCTAATGACTCCATGAGCTGTTGTTGTATGTTTCTTACTCTTCTTTTGACTCCAGAAATTTGACATGCTATATGAGAATTTTGGAGGGTTTGATGGGCTATACATGAAAATGCTTGCTTGCGGTATCCCAACTGCTGTTCAATTGATGTATATCCCTTTCTCAGAGTTGGATTTTCGTCAACAGTTTATCTTGACAATTAGGCTGGCTCATCAATGCTTAACCGCGTTATGGAAGACAAAACTGGTGTCATATGGAAAAGATTGGGTTTATCAGACAATTAGAAATATAAATGATGATATAATGATGGTGGTTGTGTTTCCACTCATTGAATCTACCATTCCTTACCCAGTATGAATTCTGTTAGCGCATTCATGCAGTTCCATAAATCTAATTTATTTTATTGCTTATGTTTTCAACAAGTTTGTTGCCATGGCTACAGGCAAGGATTTAGTTGGGGATGGCATGGCCAGAGGAAATAGGTCAAACTGTTGCCTCCACATGGTACCTGAAATGGCAGTCTGAAGCAGAAATGAATTTCAAGTCCAGAAAGATTGATGACTTTAAATCGTTTCTTTGGTTTCTCATTAGAAGCACTGTCTATGGACTTATTTTGTTTCATATGTTCCGCTTCCTTAGAAGAAATGTTCCAAAAGCTCTTGGTTATGGACCTATACGTAAATATCCAAACATGAGAAAATTGCGGAGAGTGGTATTATTTTCTTCCCTTTCTTTAATATTTTTTAGATTATTCCTAATTTTTTTATTGTTATACCTACAGCATTTTTAAGAGTGTAATTTACATATAATGATGTTTTGCTAGAGGTTTTCTTGTGGCTTTGTCAAGGCATAGATCTTCTCCACACTGGACCTTTTGAGGTGCAGCTGACTGGATTTAAAATTGTTTATATGTTACTTTGCAGAAAGGCTATTTTAATTATAGGTTGAGGAGGATCAAATGGAAGGAAAAGGCTGGCATTGACCCATAAGAACTGCTTTTGATGGAATGAAGGTTCAGTCCTGACTGAAAAATATTTTGTATTCAATGATTGAAGTTTTCTATGAGATAAAATATTTAAGTTGTTGTTGACATGCAGAGAGTGAAAAATCCTCCAATTCCCTTGAAGGATTTTGCTAGCATTGAGTCTATGAGAGAGGAAATCAATGAAGTAGTTGCATTTTTACTGAATCCTGGTGCATTCCAAGACATGGGTGCCCGTGCACCTCCGGTTTGTTATATGAAATAACATGTATCCTGCTATATCGATCTTATTACCCTCTTTATTTATGTATCATTTTGGAGTTGAACATTTTCTTAATTTTTTTTTCGTTTTACTCTTGTATTTGATGCTTAAAATGAAATCATTGTTTGATCTCAAAAACATTATGGTTTTAAAATTCAATATATGGAAGAGCACATAGGATAG